TTTATCTGACAGGAAACCAGGTTCTCAGTTAAAATTGAACTTCAGACAAACAGCGATTTTTTTAGTATGAGTATGTACCATGCAGTGTTTGGGACATACGTGTATAAAAAAAAATTCTTTATGTGAAATTCAATTTTAACAGAACACCTTGCATTTTGTCTGATAACTGCACCCCTGACCCTGCCCAGGGAGCATGGGGTCCAAAAGGAACACAGGGCCCTCAGCCCGGCCCGGCCACCCCGCTTTCGGTGCGAGTTTCTGGGCACGCCCACCTCTTCAGCTTTGCTCCATGTGAGGGACTCTCCACCCGTCCCCCCTCCCCGCTCTGTGCCCAGGAGACCCACTGTGTGACCACAGACACGAGGCTCCTTGTCCTCTGCCTGTGGTTCAGTTTGGCTAATGGCAGCCGCCAGCAGAAGACGGAAGGACAGGAGGAGGAAAAAACAGGGGTTCACCCCTGGCTGCTGCCCTGCGCGGGCTGTGGCCTCACTTCCACCGAAGGACAAGCTCTTGGGGATGCGGTGGGGAAGCCTCTCCTGACCCTGTTCCCACCAGGTCCCCACTGCTCCCTCCCTTCTTGGCCCTTGAAGATGCTGGGGAAACGTTCTTGAGTCCGCCCCCCATGCCAAGCCTTCGCCAGCCTTCCAGGTTTCCCTTAGCTCCGCCTGCAACCTCGTAAATGGGCCACCATTGAGTTCTCTTTCACTGGCCTCTTTGGAGGGTGCACCTCTTCCCTGCCAGGACCTGATCAATACGGGGCAAGGGATTGAGGGGAAACGGAGATTCTCTGCCTGAACCTTCACCTGAAATCTCAAACCAAACCTGGGCCCTCAGTCTTGCTCTGGGGGTCTTGGCGCCAGCGTTCAGGGTCCTCACTCCCAACACCCGATCGGACGGCGGCGCTGCTCCACTGGCGTCCTGTCCGCTGGCACCCGAGCACCTGCGCTGACGACATTTCACTGACTGTGGTCAGTTTGGGGGTCAGTATATTCAAACGCCAGCAGCGCTCATCTCTCGGTCCATCACAGGAAAGGAGAGGGGACAGATAGATGCGCCTGCAGGGCACAGGGACCCTGGGAGCAGGAGCCTCGCTTCCCGCCCGGGTTGGAGGCCTGCCCGGAGCTCCCAGAAATCAGAGCACCCTGGACTCTGGTGAGCAGAGCAGATGCTCTCAGAATCCTCAGGGCTAGACGCAATGGCGAGTTCAGTTTTAAAAAATAAATAGATAAATGCCTTTAAAAATAAAAAATAAAAACCCACCCCAACTTACCCATGGCCAGTTTCTTGCTTCTTCCCGGCTGTTTTTAGCAAATCCAATCGCCGCGGTGCCTGCGGCTTTGGGGAGCTGCCAGGGTCCTGGGTCTCATCCTCAGTTACGGGAACGTCGGCGTAGTCGGCACGTTCAGCTTTTGCTTCATTTTTGGGAAGTGAGCGGGTGACCGGGAAGCTGGGACAGAGCTGTTTCACTTGTCATTTCACTTTGGCCACGGCCATGTCACCTTTCCCTCTCCAGGGACCAGGCCCTGGAGAACAGCCGTGGCTACATTCAGGGGCAGAAGAGTGGGCTGGGGGCTGCTGGCCGCACACCCATCTTCCTCCTCGCGGCCTTGAAAACCTGGCGCCACGTTTCCTCACACAGGCTCAGCCCCTCTGCTCAGGGCTCTTGACCTAAACACCTGCGTCCTGAAGCAGTGAATAAAAGGCTGACAGACAAACGCATCAGGAAGGACCTGGTTCCCTGCTTGTGTGACGTGGGCCATCACTCACTGTCCTTCTCACGGCCTCGATGACCTGCACGTAAAGTGACATCTTGCCAAAGCCCCCCTTGTATCCGCTGGCCCCAGAGCTGCCTGAGAAGTGAGCGGCTGGACGTGAGGCCTGAAGAGGACGTTTGCGAAGTTTCAGAGAACGAATGAAATGGATGAGATTTTAACACTGTAGCTTAAAATTCTCTGAGTGTAAGACGTTTTTCCTTCAGGGAGCATTTGTTGGGAGCCACAAGAAAGAATATATCCCAGTTCATTACAACATGGATGTCAGAACGGAAGGGTCTTCCCAGACCTGAGGGTGAGCACTCGGAGCCTCACGGGTCACCTCCCCTCTGTCCGCATCGCCCCTTCTGGGTTCCTCCTTGATGTGACCGCATCCTCATCTCTGATTATCATTCTTTAACAAGAGGTGAAAATATTATCTTAAGAGTCCTAATTGCTTCACAATATTCTCGCAGCCCTAGCTGGTGTGGCTCAGTGGCCTGTCAACCAAAGGGTCCCGGTTCGATTCCCAGTCAGAGCACATGCCAGGGCTGTGGGCCAGGTCCCCAGCAGGGGGCGCGTGAGAGGCAACACATGGATGTTTCTCTCCTTCTTTCTCCCTCCCTTCCCCTCTCTCTGAAAATAAGTAAATAAATAAAAATTTTTTAAAAAGTATATTCTCTCTTTCTCCTACCAGCTCTGAAAATGTGCAGGTCAGATTTTTCTGTTATCCTGAGGACACACAATGATTGTTGAGAGATCAAAGCCATTCATGAATTAAATCTGTACCTCAGGCCAAATAATTTCAAAAGCAAAACTAACAAATTCCTTCTGCATTTTTACAAGAAGAAAAAAGGAGAAGGAGGAGGAGAAAGGAGGAGGAGGGAGGAAGAAGAAGGAAGAAGAAAGGAGAAGGAAGAAGAGGAGGAGGAGGAAGGAAGGAACTAGTGACCACGGTCTGATCTGAGAGCTGGACCAAGGCAGGGCCATTGGAGGTCCCCACTTTCCCCGCCCTTGAAATGTTACTTCGTTACCTTCCCAGCTCCCAGAAGTGCCCCAGGAAGTCCGCATGGATAGAAATGCATTTGGAATTCTTTGTGCTGGGTATGACCCTGCTAAAGCCCCCCGGGTATGTGACTGCACCCATGTGGGGTCCCCGGATACTTTTAAGATTTGGAGGGTGGATGGGGGAAACTAGTCCTCCTGCCGGTGCCTGAACAAGCCTCATAAATAAGTTCCCTGGTTTACCTGGCCAGCCACCACCCCCCTGGAGTGGCTGCCCCTCCCCAGGACGCTGCCTGACCCCCACTTGTGGAGGAAGCCCCCTAGAGGGTTGTGACCCAGCATTCGTGTGTAAGACACTTTGTTGATTTGACTTCCACACCCTTTTAGTTCCGTATTTGTCCAGAGCTAATGATGCACCCAAGCTCGGGTACCAGAATGAGACAGAGAAACACTATCTGCCAACAGCGGCGGTCAGACAGCTGCCTTCTAGCCCCACGCGACCACATCCTTTCCTGTCCGCAAGAGGTGGACGGCCCGCAAAGAGCAAAGCCCTTCATAAAGCAGCCGCAGGGAGGGGGGCTGGTGGGGCTCCCCTTTCACTGCGGCTCTAGAGCAACAGGCACGTCTACCTGACAGCTGACCGGCCTCTGTGCTCGCCAGGGACACCCCCGGCTTTCTCGCTGCGGTGAACAGCAAGGCCGTCGTGAATGTGTTTGAAGACAGAAAACTTCTAAATGGTTTTGTGTCACCCAGATAATAGGCAGTGCCAAGAAAGATCGAGGGGAACTTGTCAGATAAATGAAAAGGTGAAACTAATATAAGAAATTTTGCTCTTAGGTTTCTCTGACAATGCTACAAAAGTGGGTGATGTTTTCTTATTATTATTTAAAAGTCTGCTTGAAATACACACACCGAGAAATGCTTGCTTTTGAGGCATGAATAGCTGTCCTCTGGAAACACAGTGAAGTCTCAGGCTAAGACCAGCGGAGATATGAACACTGTGTACCCAGCACCTCATCAGTACAAGTAGCATTCATATATTTTGTTAATTATTTTGATTCTTGCAGAACAGAGATTTTGAAACTATGTTTACCAGCCGCCCGCCCCCATTTTCTGTAAGGGGCCATGCCTGCTTAAGACACGAATGCATCATATTTGGCATTTGAGCCGAGTTGTTTATTCAGAAACCACAGTCTTCCCGAGGAAAGGTGCTTCGCGGCTTTGGCGCACACAGCCGCGGCTAAGGACAGATCCCGAGGAGGGCGGGCCAACTCTGACTCAGCACGAGGGAGGTTAACAAAGGGACAAAATGCACACTGAGAGTATTGATCATGTTTAATGAAAAAGAAGTTACATGAATAGAAATGGACATAAAACAAAAATCAATTTGGGGAAATGTGGTGATAAGTAGAACATGGGAAAATTATTTTAATCCTGAATTAAGTCATATATTTCCATTAACTATTACTAAACCAAAACGCCTTCTTTAATCCAAAACAAAGCAATAATTATAATGTTGCTGATGTTTTTATGGGAACTCGCCAAAGTCAGTCTAAACAACGCCTTTCCGTCTCCCCGGCCCCCGCGCACACAGCGCGCGCAGACATTTCCCGGAGGCGGCGCTGGAAGGCGGGCTGCCTTGCCTGCATTTTATCATTTCAACCGCTGGTCGGCCCTGGCAGGTGCGCTGTCGCGCAGCCAGGCTTCTGCGAGCCCTGCCGGGACTGCGCCCTAGGCGAACAGCCGCACAGCTGCGGCAAGACTGGCCGCCAGGAGCGGCTGACTCTGGTGGACGTGGCCGCGGACGGAGGCATTCCTGCCGGCTCGGCTCGGGTTTGAGCGCAGAGGACCCCGAACAGTGCGAAATTTAAAACACACAGACGTGGCCCGGCCGCACGCGCATCCCACCGGCCTGTTCCGCGGCTTAGTTCTGTTTAAGCTGCTTAGCGGAGCCAGTCAGTGTTCTACTTCTGTCATTTTCTACCCCGGTGTGCGGTAGGACCCTATCTTTCTAAGTTAGAAAATAATGCCTCGGAAACTACTTACGATCTTTTAAAACAGATATGGGTAACAGGTCTGTTGCAATCATCTTATTTAAAGTACAATACTACCCCCCCGCACCCCCCCCTTCCTGTGAGACTAGACAGCAAGCGCTGGGCTCGAGCGCCGCCGGCCACGCGGGGCGCCAGCAGCGCGGGCTCTGCTCGTTCCCCCGGGGCGGCGCCCAGCGGCCGGGGCTCCGAGCTAGGACGAGCCCTGCCTCTTCTGGTACTGGACCCTCAGCTTCTCCAGCTGCTCCACGCACTGGGACTGGGCCAGCTTCAGGGCGCGGTTCTCCTCGGTCAGCGCCTCGAACTCGCGGGCCAGCTGAGCCGCGTCCACCTTCTCCTTCTCCGCCTGCGCCAGCTTGGCCATGAGCTCCTTCCTGCAGACAGGGCGGCAGAAGAGCACACGCTGCGATGCGCACGCGCCGGGGCAGGGCGGGAGGGCGGGCGCCCGCCCGTCCGCGCCTGCGCAGCCCACCGTCCGCGCCTGCGCAGCCCGCCATCCGCGCCAGCCTCCTTGTCTCACTCCAGCCCTTCGCTGAGACGTCCCGCAATTCTAACCATTGGCCAGGAAACGCTCGACTAATCCTCCGACAGTCAGAATAGCTGATCTCTTTAAGGGCACAACAAATTGTAAAAACTACAGGTAGTTGAGGGGAAACCCCGGAAACAGCCGCCTGTGACTTAAGATGTTCTCTGGTGTCCTATGGGCAGAACTATGTTCTCTGTCCTGAGGCTGCCTTCTCCCGCCAAAGCCACTCGTCGTCCGTCGTGTTTTCCTTCCGAGTTTAGCAAAGCTCCACTGGTTCTTTGACCTAAGAATCCCGCTCCTCCCTGCAGCCATGACTCCCCCTAATTCACGAAGCAGTTCCGTACGTTCGCCGCACAGCCAGGACCCGGGGACAGGCCGCGGCCAGGGGAGGGCACTTGGGTGATAACCACGCAGTTCTCGGGGAACATCTGTAAAAATCGCCTGGGTGTAAAGACGCAAAAAATGGCGCTCGAGACTCACAGCCCCTGTTCAGAGTTTACAAACGTGACGACCCACACAGGTCGACTCCCCCGAGCGGGTGAGTTAGCCCCAAACCGAATTCCTTTTGCCACAATACAAGCGCACGACGCATCTCTCCCTCCTTGGCGGGGAAACGGGCCGAGAAGCCCTAAGGCCACTGAGTCCAGCGCTCCGACCCGACGTCCCTCGAGGGAGCAGATGTCGCGAGAACATGTCGCCCTTCTGCGGGGTCCCTGCCCACAGTGCAGGCAGCTCAGCGGCTCGGACTGAGAGAGGCTACGTGATCGGGGCCCCTACTCGTCAAAAGGTAAAGAACGTGTTTCAAAGAACTGAAGAGAAATGACAAGTACCTGCAGTGTGCAGCTGTGGACTGAAAAAAACAGCTGTGAAGGACGTGATGGGGAAATGGTTGCAATTTAAGGACAGACTGCGAATTAGATAACTGAATGGTATCAGTGATAAAATTCCTCTTTAACTATTGTGCTGTGGTAAAGTGAGAGAGTGCCCTTGTTCTTAGACCATAATCTGAAGAATTTAGGGCAATGGAGCATGAAATATAACACACCAGGGGCCATGGGAGATGGTCTGAAATGCTGATTTGCTCAGCCACAAAGTTCCTTCGGGCTATTAATGATCTTTGATTCTTCCACGGTGCTTAGGATATAAAGGCTCCCAATAAATACTTCTGAATGAATAACTGAAGAGTCAGCTACCTCAGAGACAAATGATATACATTTTAAAGATGAGAAAAGAGAAATTCAAAGTGTTTAATTTAATTGAAAAAGTCATACAGCTTCTAATAAAGAGCCGGCATCAAGCTATTTTTATTACATGTTTATGGCTCTTTACCTCTAAGCATACTTGAAGCAATAAATGTCAATAATGAAATATTAGTAAAGATCCTTATGTAACTACCTTAAATAAATTGATTATTACAGCATAGGAAATATAGTAGTGATATTATAATAACCATGTATGGCGAAAGTTGGGTACTGGAAATATTGGGGGTAAAAGTATATGATTGTCTAACCGCTGTGCTGTATGCCTGAAATGAATACAAAATAATATTGAAAGTAAACTGTAATTTTAAAAGGTTTTAAAGAAATTGATTAGTAAAACTTACATAAGTAAAAAAGAGCCATGCCTCCAAACTCTTCACCTATCAGATTATCTATTCCTGTCTTTTTTCCCTTTTCAAATCAGCTGTATCACACAAATAACTCAGGTTAAAATAGAGTTTTGCTTTCAAAACAAATAGTTGAAAGAGTTGGAAATCCTGGGTATAACCATGGCTGCTACCCTGGTTCCATGTCTGACCTCATTTAGAACTCCTGGGGAGATGTTAGTAGCTTTGATGGGTAGAGAAAATAAATCACAAAATCAGACTTTACAATACAACCAAAAGGAATGGTCGTGATTGTCTGGTTGAATCTTCATGATTCAGAGAAAGTCAATAATAATTTCTTCCTTACTAGAATTCAGAAGACTTCATTGATAGGTTTCTAAATTAGTTTCATGTATTTGAAAGCAATTATATGTACATATATTCAATGAATACTGTCAAAACGTCTATCATCTTCAGGACCTATTTATGCAGACATATTTATGCTCATCCATTAGCAATTCCTGATTACTGCTGGCACATCAAGCTACAGAGACAATCTTATAAATAGATGATCTAAGGAACAAATCAATATCCGTAACTGGCTAGAATGTGGTCCTGCCTTGCAGTCCTGTTTGTCATTTCTATCATCCCCTTCAGTGGAATGGGATGTGGGGTAGAAAACCACCGTTACAGGAAGTCAAGGACCTGAGACACTCCGTGCGGTGTATCTCACGGGAGAAAAAACCATGACCTTGGGTCTGCCACAGAGCAGCTGTTGTCCTCATCTAGACAACATTCCTGGAAAAGCTTCTATTTGCTAAAACAAACAGGGAGAGAAAAACTCCAAGTGACTTGATAAAGAGAACATTGAGACTGTGGACACCGTGTCTAAAATTAAGGAGATTCTTTATGTTGCAGGAAGTTGGGATGTGGATTTGTCATTAGGACAAATATTTCTCTGTTTCTAGAAAGACTACCACCAAGGTTGTGGAGACTTTCAAAACGGACTAAAGACTTTTACTGGGAAAAGACAAAGTCCTAGAGAGTTTGGCCCCAATGATCTAAAGAGTTTGGGGTAATATAATAAAATACTACCTCCATCACAGGGAGTTTCATTTTAAATAGTGATTTAGACGACACTGCAGGTTCTTGAGACAAGCGTTTAACCCAGAGAGAAGGAGCAGATGCCCAGACGTGACACGAAGGGTCTGCAGTCCGTCTTCGTTTCATACAGGCGGAGGGGCAGTCAATGCGACTGAAACGGAATTCCCACGCACAGCCGAGACGGCGGCGCTGGGGGCCTGCAGGGGACGAGCATGAGGAATCGACGAGCTCTGTCTCCTGGGAGCCAAATATACCCTTGCAGGGGGCGGGGGGGGGGGCAGGAAGTGCTATCAAAAAGACTTTCTCAATCTCAGCACAGTCGACCGTTGACCTTTTGGGCCAGACAAGCCTTTGCTGTGGGGCTGTCCTGAGCGTTGCATCATGGGAGGTTTAAGAGCATCCTTGACCTCCGTGGAGTAGATGCCAGCATTACCAGTTATTACAACAAAAGTGTCTCAAGACATTGCCAGTGTCCTTGGGGTGGGGGGCTGAAATTTTGGCCCAGTTAAGAAATACTATTCTAAAGAAAATAGATATTTTCACTATCACCCCTAAAATAGTTCATTTGGTGTAGGAATAAGGTGAAAGATAAAATATTTCCTCCCTCTGCTCCCCCAGAAATTGGCGCCTTCTTCCTTGGCAAAGGAGGTAAACATTTTCTCTCCTTTAATGTGGTTTTGGGGAGAGGAAAGATGGAGAGATGCCTAGGAAGAAATCCCAGTTAAAAGAGTGGACCGCTTGCAATTAGGTGATACAAGGCACCCAGACCATTATGATTGGGGCATCAACGGCAAGTGTGATCTCACAGCCCGATCAACTCTGGGATACTGGGGTTTCACACAAAAGCAAATCCTAAAATGAAAGAACCCCTTGACTCTCTCTCACCCCTGGAGCAAAGTAAGGAGTGGAGACAGTTCTTTAGTTCTTTTTTCATTCACTCAACAAGTCTTCATTGGAATCCTATCGCAAACCAGGACTCATCCTTGACTCCCCCTCACCACGTTAGTCTCGGGGAGCCCCTCTCCATTGGTGGAAAACCCTGCGCCCCACCCAGGGGTCTCATACTCACAGCAGGCGGCTCAGGAGAGGGGACAGAATGTCCTACCCACCTGCCACCTACCCTGCAGACGCCCGCTGGGGACAGCTCCCCGTACAGCTTCCCTAAGGCAGTGAAACCCCTTCCGGGGTCTCAGTGATCGTTCAAGAAAACGTGCTTAGACTGTGACAGGGATGTTTGGTTTTCAATGTTTTATAGTGGTGGGGTCCTTTTTCAAAGAAGTGAAGAAAATAAAGCAGATAAAATTGGACCTTCTCTGCCCAGCCATGGTCCAGCCTCCGGCCCGAGACCCCTGCATCCCCGCCCAGGCCGGAGGGGCTCTCGAGAACGCGGTTTAAAGAGCCTCTGCCTTTGGGGCTGTCCTAAAGAGATAACTGTTTCTGGCTAAACATTTGGAAATTTCTGAATAAATTAAATACCATACCTACAAAACAGGGCTACTTTAGACTACATTTCTACAAATCACACCTGCTCCCTTTCCCCTGCCCCGTCCTTGATAGGCTCCCCTCAGTGAGGCTACTGTTCCCCAATCACCATTTTATGTATTTTTAAAAGACCATGAAAATACATCTCACATTGATTGTGGTTAACTCCATATGAAAACTTTTTCTAATGTTCTGCATAAACCCACTAACATTCTGTAACTTTTTTTTCAACTCAATAACAAAAAGACAATTTTTTAAAAAAATGGTCAAAGGAGCTGAATGGACATTTCACCAAGAAGACACAAAAATGCCAAAAAGCACATGAAAAAGGACTCAATGTTTTTCGCCATTGGGGAGTATGAATTAAAACCACACGAGACGTCATTTCACACCCACTAGGGTGGCTATAATCTCAGAGACATGAGTGTTGGCCAAGATGTGGAGCAACTGGAACACTCAGACATTTCTGCTGGAAATATGAAGTGGTACAGCCGCTTCAGCCACAGGCAGCCCCTCAGAAGGTGGCCCAATGAGTTGTCCTGTCTCAGCAATTCCACTCTCAGGCACACAACACATGAATTTAAAAAGCTTATGTCCACACAAAACTTTGTATGTGAGCATTTGTAGCATCATTATTCACAACAGCCAAAAGTGCAAACAACTCAAATGTCTATCAACTGATGAAATGGATTAATAAAATATGGTCCATCCATACAATGGAATATTATTCAACAACGAAAAGGAATGAAGTACTGATGCATGCTACATGGATAAATCTCGCGAACATCATGCTAAATAAAAGAAGCCATTCACAAAAGAACAGGTCCCATCTGAGTCCGTTGGAAGTATCCAGGATTGGCAAACTCCCAGAAACAGAGAGCCGGTGAGCGGTTGCTGAGGGAGTCACTGATTGCGCAAGGGGACAAGGGCTCTTTCCGGGGTGATAGCACTGCCCTAAAGTTGCGGCGATGGTCGCACGGTTCTGCGAGTGTACCGAAAACCACTGAGTTACCTTCTTTAATTACCTAACACTTGTCAACCTGACTTTTCTAAGAGTGTATGGTTTTCTGACATTCTGAGCCTATCTTTTAAATACAACAGCACCTAGCACAATGTTTCATACATGGAACAGTCAAGTGATTTCTCCTTTGAACAAGATAAAACTCTACCTGGAGGAAAGCAACTTTCACTAATTGCAAATCTAATGGTAGATCTAATTGTTGTTTAATGGTATATATTAAAAACTTTCTATCAAACGATTCTGTCATAAATTTCACAAGTCACAAAATGTCTCATTTCTATGTGTTTCCATTACATACATAAAAACTGTTATATTTAAAACTTGTAATATTTACCCAAAAAAAGCATGTACATATTTTGTTACTAGATATGTAATTATATAAAAATATTCACATGCAAAGGTCTAAAAAGAAACAGACAAAAATGATAGCAGGAATTCTGTAAAGATGGAAGAATTTTTGGTTTTTTAAAGCTCTCAATAAAATTGCCATTTTTTTCAACTGAGAAGAAAAAAAATCCAATAACAGTAAGAACAAGCTTTTCTTACATTATTGGTCAATAGGCCATAAGTGATTCTTTAACTTAAATTCACTGTGTGCTGAATTTATAATCCCAGAAAAAAGCTTACTCATCCAGAACCATGATTTAAAATCATAGTTTCAATCAACTCTTCTCCTCGCTCCAAACCCTGATCCAGGGAGACCCCCTCTGGAGATGGGAGAGAAGTTCAGCCTGCAGTCATGCCAGTAAATGAACTCTTCTCAAATTCTTGAGTTTATTGCTGATGTTGACTCTGTATTTTAAGTATAGACCATAGAAATCACAAATAAAGTGTGTACACGGAGGGCATTACAACCGCCCATAATCGCCACACTAAGTCACCCTCACCGTGTCTGACCCTCCGCACAGCTCCCCACTCAGTGGTTGGGACCCAAGGTGTGACAGGGTGTGTGAGTCTGCACACACTCGCAGAAAGGCAGGACAGCACCCGCCCGCATAAAATGCCAGCGCAGTCACTCCTGTGAGCTCCACTGGGCGCGTGAGAAGCGCGGGTCCCTGCGGGGTGGCTGGGTGGGGAGGAGGAAGAGCCTTCCTCAGGAAGGGGGTGCTGGGGGGCAGAGAGGAAGCAGAGGCCCAAGGTCCTGAGGCCCTGAGCGCTCGGGCAGAGGCAAGAAAGACCAGGGGTGAGAGAGCTTTCTATGGAAGCATGAAGGCCTGCGAGGTCCATCTTGAAATCCAGGCCACTCACGGGGTGTCCCTCGCTAGCGACAGAAACCACAGGCTGGACAACCAAGGGCAACAGGGCATTGACCCAGATCTGGAGCCCCCGAGTCCCATCCCCAAAGGGCAGAAGCAGGAATAAAGAAAAACCAATTTGAGAGACTATGAAAAAGAAAGGAAAAAATAACAAAAGAATTTGGCCTTTGCCTCACATCTAGCCAGTTACTTAGAAAGACCTATGAGTAGATGAATTTGGCCAACATTTTTGTGGTTTGGCAGGTTATATAAAGTACTCCTCCTGGTCTGCCAGCCGCCTTCTTTCTAGAAGCCGGTTTCGCCTTCTCTCTCGTCACTGCTGTCGTGGTGGCCACAGCTATTGCTACTCTAAATGCGCAGCAGGATGTGTTTCCACCAAGCCCCAGGTGAGTCAGTCTCGTACTGTTATCCTAGCGTATTTTTTAAATGCAACGTACAAAAACATGAGCTTACAGATCATATAATTTAGTAGATAAGGCTTCCAAATAAAGAGCCACACAGTGGTTTAGATAACAGTTTTCCAAATTGAAAATATTTGTATCTACAAATAAATACAGAACTACTGGTTTTTCTGTTATGACATCACAGTTCACACACGCGCACCCCGCACACACTCTCACACAACTACACACACTGTCATACACACACACTCACGCTCACTTACATGCACTCAGACACACTCATACCCACACGCTTTCACGCACAGACACACACACACACACACAAGGCATCTGTAGGCTGTTGATTATACATGTCCTCTTGTAACCTCACCCTGGTGATACTATTAATAAGCTCCCCCAGGTCCTTTATGAAACTTTTCTCAGGACTCAGATTGTGTGTAAGTGTTCCATCTGCACACTCCAGTCAACGTGTAAGAACTCAGACCAACAGGAGTCTCAGAAATAGGAGGAGAAAGCTGTGTTTTTGATCTCGTAAACATCTTTAGTCTATAACCAGAGTCCAGGTATAATTCATGTTTTCAACACGACCAAGCGAGGACCGGGGCCTCCCGGTACGGGCAGAAGTCTGGACCTAAACCCTATGCTCCCCGCCGACTAGTCTGTGCGACCATCACGCTGGGCCTGCAAAAGTACTGACAATATCATAAATTTCTCAAAACAAAACATATTTCACTCACTTTGATTTAAAAATTAAGAAATAGATGTGATGTGTCTCTCCAGTAAGAGGAAGAGGAGAAGCAGAGAGTGAAGAGTATGTTTGGACTCAACACACAATACTCATCGCTCTCAATGCGCATGCGTCACTCATCCAGTGCACATGCGTCGCCCGTCCAATACGCATACGTCACTTCTCCAACGTGCAGACGTCGCTTTCTCCAACACGCATGCGTCCCTCCTCCAACACGCATGCGTCGCTCGTCCAGTACGCATGCGTTACCCGAACCGTAACCTTCACTTCAGGGGCTTGTGCCCCTGCCGGGGGAGCTCCGCCCGGTAAGCGCTCCGTACGGTCCACCTGCAGCCCAGGTCCCCTGGGGCCCCTGGGCTCGTTCGCAGGAAACAGAGGACGGCTCTGGGGGGTACTTTGGCATTTTTAATGTCCTGAACTAAAACGCTTATTAAAAACAAGTTTGGGGGAAGGAAACACCCCCGTTCCTCTCACTGCTCATAAAGTAAAACCTCGAACCCACAGCGGTGCCCCCGGGGTCATTTCTGGGGCGCACAGGGCTGACCCGGCGGCGCCCGGCGCCCCAGCACTTACTTCCTCTCCTCCAGCAGCGCGATCTCCTTGCGCACCTCGTGGTACTCCTCCGCGATGCGGCAGTGCTGCCGGAACACCTGCATGGACTCCAGCGAGTCGTGGCGGGGCGGCAGCGGCTTGAGGAGCGACAACAACAAGTCAGGCGTTTCCTGGCATCGGAATCAGTCACTGTCCCCGTTGCGCCCCTGGGGCCCGGGCTGGGGCCCCCACGCGTCCTGCACCGGCCGTGGGGCCTCAGGTCTGCCCGGCGCCTCGAACGCCCAGCCCTGCGCTGGGGGCGGCTCAGGGCTCCGTGCCCGCGGCTCTGGAGCTCTGGTCCTGCCGCTCAGGCCCCCTCTCACCGGCAGGAGCAGCCCTGCCCCAAAGGCCCCTTTCTGGGACGCGCCCCCGCTGAAGGACGAAGGCTGGGCCGGAGGGAAATCGGCCGTGTAACAGGTGAGGCCCGGTCTCCGGTGCTTCCGACCCCCCCCCCCCCCGCCCCCGCGCCCCACCCCCACCCCCACCCCCACCCCCACCCCCGAGGGACTGAGACCTCGGGTGACCCTTGCCAACCGCCACGTGTCGAAAAGCCTACGCCCGGAAAGTATCTTTTAAAGAACTAGCTCTCCCTGAGTTTATAACTCTATTTTCTAGTTAGCAACACATTATTAAAACCATTATTTTTAAGAAACGCTAGTTAATAGTCTTTTAAGGAGTTTTTAATTACTCCTTTCCCGTATATACAGAACATGTTATATAATATCTGAGAAATAGGAGTTCACTGTTCAGTAGGCCTGCCTTCGCCGTGGTCCAGACGCGCGAGCTGTGCGTCTGGCCGGTCGGAGCCTCGCTTTTTTAAGCGAGGGAACGTGAGGACTAACGGAGCCTTCCCTGCTTGCCCCTCCCAGTACGTTCTGCAAGGACACAGCTCTCTTTGGGTGTCACACGTAGGGAAGCGACAGAAATGCTATAGAGTTTATTGCTTGATGGACGAGATGACCCTTCTCCTTTATCATCAGGCCTCTGCATGAGGTCTTTTAAAAGAAATAAAATTCAAAAAAGATGTGGAGGAAATTTACCTTCCTGTGGAACACCTGTTGTGTCCTAGTTCACGGAAAACTTAATAGGAATTACGTTAGACAGCACCCGCCCCCACGGCCCCGAGGACACGGCGTGCCTGCCCGCTTGGCTGCTGGGCCCGCAGCCCCAGCTCCGCGGCGGCGCGTGGAGCGCAGCGCAGCCCAGGGCGGAGCTCCTGCCAGAGGAATGCCGAACTCCTGGCTCCCCCGCGCCTGCCCTTGAACTCGCCGCCCTCACCAGCTCTCTCACCTGTTCCCCTGGCAAGGTGCCCGCTGTGACAGCAAGGCGGATGAAACTCATTCACTGCGGGCAGCTGAGCCAAGCCGCCCTCGTCGGCCAGGCCGCGCTGCCCGGGGCCTGAGCCTTGTGTGGCCGCGTCCTGCCCGTTTGAAACTCGCAGCCCACGCTCGGTTCAGTCCCTGGCTGGCCATGTGCGGCAGGGGCCCGAACCGCGCATTCAGCACAGTTACGGCGGTGCTGGTCCAAAGCCTCCAGGACTCTGCGAGAGAGTCGGTGCGCCTTGGAGGACGCCCAGAGCGCAGCTGGGTTGGGCGGGGGAGCTGGGGGGGCGGGGCAGGGAACAGGGGAGAGACACGGCTGTCCTTTGCTTCTATAATTAAAAAGGAAAACTGGAAATTAGGTACATAATTTTCCTAAGACATGGAAGGCCTCTTCCTCCCTTGCCTTTTTATTAAGTGGGATCCCCCCATGGGTTTTTTTTTTTAAATTGGCGCTGCTTAATTGTGGCACGTTTGACGGTATTGTGATGCATCGGTGGTGGGCCCCTCCCGCCAAGGGTGCTGGGGGCAGGGGGCAGTTCAGGAGACTCGACTCCGCACCCTCATGGGCTCTTACCAGGGTGACCGTGCTACATGATATTTTCAAGATTTCCCACAAGAAGTAATTCCAGTTTTTAAATAACAAGCCAAAATTGCTCAGTGTTTCAGGGAGGAAAGGCACCAGGTGTGACTCGGCCTCTGGGTCCTGGAAGCTCTACCTCACCCCAACCTGACAGGTAAAGTCAGCACCGTGTCAAGGTCTCCCAATTTGCATGCAGCATTAAGCAGCCAGGTTCTTTTAAAAGGACGGGAGTTTCCTTACGGCGCCCACCACAGCATTGCCAGGTTGTGTGTTGGGCGCCAGGGGCTGGGGGAGGGGCTGAGCAGCCGCTGCTGAGCAAGGAGAGTTTCCGTTCTGCAGGACGGGACCTTCCGCAGGTGGTTGCTCAGCACTGTGAATGCACTTAACCCTGCACACTGCACTCTTAGAAGTGATTAAGATGACAACATTTATGTCATGTGTTTTTTACCACACTTTTAAAAAAAGCGAACGCAACAAAAGAGTGATCATTAAATCTCCCCGCTGCCCCAGCCAATCTTCTAATCTCTCTGAGGCGCCCGCCTTGGCGCGCTACCCTCCTCCCCAGGGAACTTAAACCCTCTCGCCCCATTATGACCGGGAGTTCCAACCTCAGCGTCGCTGGACAAATTAAAGTGCCCTCTGCTCAGTAGGACCCCAGTCCTTAGAAGGCATCAGGCATCACGGGACATTTACTCCAGCCCAGAGGACTCACCAAGGAATTTTTAAATACGTGTGTTCTTACCCCAATAGGAATTCTGATGAATAAGAGCATTAGAATATTTAGATTTCAGACACAAAAAACACAAGATGGAGGTGTAGGTAGATACACTTCACCTCCTAGCACAACCAGAAGAAGGATAACAACCACTCTAACAACAAAAAACCCCATGACTGCCGGAAAATCTTAACTGTATAAAAGTCCAACAACCAAGAGATTAAAGAAGAGACATTTGTCCAGGCTGGTAGGAGGGGCGGAGATGGGCAGCCAGGGCAGCGAGGACACGCGACAAGGTGGTGGCTGGCAGACGGGGCGGCCTCACATTCACTTGCAGATAAACCAGGAGGAACAACTGGAGAGCAAGACAGACCGTGCGACCCAGGGCTCCAGCACAGGAAATGAAAGCTTCAAAACCTCTGGCTATAAAAACCTGTGGGGGTTTCAGAGGTACAAGAAACTGCCAGTCTCAGAAGAGTCCTTTGGAGGGACCCATCGGGTCCTAGACGTACATAAGCCCACCCACCCAGGAATTAGCACCAGGGCAGCACCTGGAAGGGCAGCACCTGGAAGGGTACCAATCACTTGTGGGAAGTGGGGGAAGTGACCAAAAGCAGGGCAAGAGCAGAGCAAATGGCCTTGTTCCCTCTCTGACCCTTTCCCTACATATGGCACCACAACCTAGCAAAGGGGGTTGCCCCGCCCCAGCGAATACCTAAGGCTCAGCTCCTGATGATGTAACAAGGTGTGCCAAGACCAAGAAATGTGGCCCAAATGAAAGAACAGGTCAAAATTTAAGAAAAAGAACTAAGCAACAAGGAGATAGCCAACCTATCAGATGCAGAGTTCAAAACACTAGTAATCAGGATGGTCAGAGAAATGATTGGGTACAGCTGCAAAATAAAGGAAGAGGTGAAGCCTATACAAAGTGAAACAGAAAAATATACAGGGAACCAACAGTGAAGGGAAGGAAACCGGGACTCAAATCTATGATTTGGAACAAAGGGAAGAAATAAACATTCAACCAGAACAGAATGAAGAGACAAGAATTCAAAAAAAATGAGAGGCTTAGGAACCTCTGGGACAACTTTAAATGTTCCAACATCTGAATCATAGGGGTGCCAGAAGGGGAAGAGGAAGAGCAAGAAATTGAAAGCTTATTTGAAAAAATAATAAAACTTCCCCAATCTGGTGAAGGAAATACACATACAAGTCCAGGAAGCACAGAGTCCCAAACAAGTTGGACCCAAAGAGGACCACGCCAAGACACATCATAATTAAATTGCCAAAGATTAAATATAGAAAGAATCTTAAAAACAGCAAGAGAGAAGAAGAGAGTTACCCACAAAGGAGTTCCCGTAAGACTGTCAGCTGATTTCTCAAAAGAAACCTTACAGGCAAGAAGGGGCCGGAAGGAAGTGTTCAAAGTCATGAAGGGCAAGGACCTCCACCCAAGATTATCCAGCAAAGCTACCATTTAGAATGGAAGGGTGGATAAAGTGCTTCCCAGATAAGGTTCATCCTCACCAAGCCCTTATTACATGAAATGTTAAAGGGACTTATCTAAGAAAAAGAAGAACATCAAAACTATGAACAGTAAAATGACAACAAATGCACAACTATCAACAACTGACCCTTAAAAAAAGCAAAAGCAGACAACTAGAACAGGAACTGAATCACAGAAATGAAGATTCCACGGAGGGTTATCAGCAGGGAGGGGGAGGGGAGAGAATAGGAGAAAAGACACAGGGAGTAAGAGGCATGATTGATAGGTACAAAATTGGCAGCGGGGGCGGTTTAAGAATAGTATAGGAAACGGAAAAGCCAAAGAACTTTATGTGCAACCCATGGACATGAACTAAGGTGGGGAATGCTGGAGGGAGGGGGGTGCGGGGAAGAGGGGAATAAAAAAGAGAAAAAAAATAGGACAACAGTAATAGCGTAATCAATAAAATATACTTAAAAATATTTATATTTCAAGTCAAAGAACATGTATAAAGGACCCACGGACAAAGCCAAAGTGGGGAAGGACTGAGGGTGGGAGGTGGGGGTGGGTGGGGCAGGGGAAAGTGGTGGTGGGAAAACGGAGACAAATGTATTTAAACAATAAAAACAAAATTTAGGGTTCATACCTGATATAAGAAGTAACACTATAGAGTATTGAAATGCGATGTCCTGTGTGACACAGAACAGTCTCAGTGCTTTGTGGCAGTGTGTGTGGGGGGGAGGGCATCTCCAGGTCCTCGTGAGAGTGACTGTCTCACCTTCTCACAACCTCTCAGAATAAGAGATAATGAGTGGCCAACGGTGTCCATTGATGTTCTTGCCGGAGGAAACAGATTCCTGAAGTTCAAGCACAAGAATCAAGTTTGCAATTGAAAAATGGAGCCACCGGTAAGCTTCCGTCATGATGTTTAGAAACACTGGCGCTCATGAATTAACTGACCTCACGTGCGGTTAAGACCCCACCACTTGTTCACA